CCCAGCCTTGTTCATTACTCAAAACCGCAATCATGGGTAAGACTGCCAACCTGACTGCTGTCCAGAAGGCCATCATTGACACCCTCAAGCAAGAGGGTAAGACACAGAAAGAAATTGCTGAATGAATAGGCTGTTCACAGAGTGCTGTATCAAGGCACCTCAGTGGGAAGTCTGTGGGAAGGGAAAAGTGTGGCAGAAAACGCTGCACAATGAGAAGAGGTGACCGGACCCTGAGGAGGATTGTGGAGAAGGGTCGATTCCAGACCTTGGGGGACCTGCGGAAGCAGTGGACTGAGTCTGGAGTAGAAACATCCAGAGCCACCGTGCACAGGTGTGTGCAGGAAATGGGCTACAGGTCCCGCATTCCCCAGGTCAAGCCACTTTTGAACCAGAAACAGCGGCAGAAGCGCCTGACCTGGGCTACAGAGAAGCAGCACTTGACTGTTGCTCAGTGGTCCAAAGTACATTTTTCGAATGAAAGTAAAATTTGCATGTCATTCGGAAATCAAGGTGCCAGAGTCTGGAGGAAGACTGGGGAGAAGGAAATGCCAAAATGCCAGAAGTCCAGTGTGAAGCACCCACAGTCTGTGATGGTCTGGGGTGCCATGTCAGCTGCTGGTGTTGGTCCACTGCGTTTTATCAAGGGCAGGGTCAATGCAGCTAGCTATCAGGAGATTTTGGAGCACTTCATGCTTCCATCTGCTGAAAAGCTTTATGGAGATGAAGATTTCATTTTTCAGCATGACCTGGCACCTGCTCACAGTGCCAAAACCACTGGTAAATGGTTTACTGACCATGGTATTACTGTGCTCAATTGGCCTGCCAACTCTCCTGACCTGAACCCCATAAAGAACCTGTGGGATATTGTGAAGAGAAAGTTGAGAGACGCAAGACCCAACACTCTGGATGAGCTTAAGGCTGCTATCGAAGCATCCTGGGCCTCCATAACACCTCAGCAGTGCCACAGGCTGATTGCCTCCATGCCACGCCGCATTGAAGCAGTCATTCATGCAAAAGGATTCCCGACCAAGTATTGAGTGCATAACTGAACATGATTATTTGAAGGTTAGCGTTTTTTGTATTAAAAACACTTGTCTTTCATTGGTGGGATGAAATATGCTAATTTTTTGGGACAGGCATTTTGGGTTTTCATGAGCTGTATGCCATAATCATCAGTATTAAAACAATTAAAGACCTGAAATATTTCAGTTTGTGTGCAATGAATCTGAAATATATGAAAGTTTCATTTATATTCTGATGCATGCTCAATAATCCAGGTAAACCACCAAAGGGTGATGGGAGCACAAGTTAGGAGTCATCAGGACTCTGTATCACAGAGCAGACAGCGTCCCCACTAGCTCCGGAGCCAGGCAGAAGGAGAAATCCCACACAAGACAGGCTCTAGAGCAATGTGGATATCCTAACTGGGCCTTCCTGAAAGCAGAGAAGAAACCCAAACAGGACTCCAGTCAGCCATCAGGTGAAAAGGAGGAACCCAGACCCAGACCAGTGGTCATTCCATATGTTGAGGGAGTATCAGAGAAACTGAGACGTTTATTTTCAAAATATAACGTCCCAGTGGCTTTTAAACCCCAAAATACATTACGGCAAAGACTGGTTCATCCCAAAGATCCAGTCCCCCGGCACAAACAGAGTAATATTGTGTATGCTGTTCAGTGTCAGGAGGGCTGTGATCAGTCTTACATCGGGGAAACTAAACAGCCACTGGCCAAAAGGATGGCCCAGCACAGAAGATCAACATCAACAGGCCAGGACTCTGCGGTCTACACTCATCTCCAGGCCAGCGGTCACTCTTTCAGGGATGAAGATGTTCACATCCTGGACAGAGAGGAACGATGGTTTGAGAGAGGAGTAAAGGAGGCCATCTTTGTGAAAAGAAATCGTCCATCGTTAAACAGGGGTGGAGGCCTCCGGGTTCAACTGTCCCCCTCTTACAATGCTGTGATTGCTAGTATCACTCAGCCCTCTGTGAGTAGTAAACAGCCATCAGTGTGCTAATGACCCATTGTTAGGCTGATGGTCCTTCTTGAGCATGTGATCAGCTGGTTTTGGTTGTCAGCAGCAAAACTGGTTGATCCACTCCGAGAAGGTGCTATTTAAGAGACTGAGCTGAATACAGCTCCTCAGACTGAGGAAGTCTCTCGGATGAGAGACGAAACGTTTCTACATTTTTTTGTTGATTTGCTTTGTTTTGTTTTTTTTGAATGTCCAGAGGACCATATTTAACTTTTTTAGATTTCATTTTTATTATTACATTATGGAAAATAATGACCTTTATCACAATATGCTAATTTTTTTAGAAGGACCTGTATATGACATTTGAATTTAATACGAAAAGAACTCACTAAAAATTTAAAACTTGAGTCTGATTTAATCATTTCTTGCTTCAGAACCGGAAAGCAAGTGGTGCCCCTTCAGAATAAAATTACAAATAAAAATTCAACGATCTGAGAACCCTTTCCTCTACAAGTCTACTAACAGCAAAGTCCGTGCTCAATAATCCAGGTATAAAATCCAACATTTTTCAGTCAGGTCATCTAGACAGTTTCTTTTTTTGTGCTGAAACTTTTCGCCTTCGATCCGGAAGGCTTCATCAGTCAAGGAAACTCACAACAAAACTGATTCTTCCTCCAACAGCTTACTCCACAGTGGAACAAACCAGTTCTGCTTGTGATAAGATGGTCTCTTTGGTAAGCCTCTCCTCCATTGCCGGCCCTCTTCCTTGTTGACAGTCTTGTCAAACTGGTTGAAAACAAAGTCTGTGCTAAGTCAGTAAGTCTACTGTTCCCGCTAATGGAGTCCTGAATGACTCTGCAGGAGAAGAACTGAAGGAATCTCAGGTTGATCTGGCACGAGAGCTGCACACTGATGAGATCCACATTGAACCCATTTCACTGGACAGGAGAGAAATTCTCCCAGAGGAAAAGAAAAAACAGAAGAGCAAATAACTGTGCTGAACCATGGGAGAGGGGCTGGGGAATACAACCCACCACGACCAACGAGAATGAGACGGACACCAAAATTCCTCACATATCACGAGTTGGGCAATCCCACTTGTAACAGCATGAGGTCAGTGGGGTAACAAAAAGAAAGTGGATTTTGGACATTGTGCCACCCACAGTCTGTGTGGTGTTAATTGCATTCATGCCATTGCAAAACAGTGACTGTTGGTGTAATAGTATGGATTTATTCACTTATCCCAAAAAGACTGTTTCTGAATAAGTGATGTGACTAGTAAACATACTGTTTGGATTTATGAGTTAAACATGCAGTTAAGTGTGAATAATTTATTACAGCATTAACTGAAAAAAAGTCATTAGGGTGATGTGTATGATATAAAATGTTATGGCATTCTATATAATGTCCAACTGTTCCTGTAGATCAATGAATAGGGTGTTGGGACGACACTTGTGATGGGGTGTGTGTTATGGGCCAAATGAAAACAGCCATTTGTTAAGATGATTTTATACTAAAGCAGTTAAATATGTGAAAACAATGATACTACATGTATACATAGGGACAACTCTAAGCTTTATTGTGAAAAGATTTAGCGATTATGTCACTTCCTGGGTGGGGAAACTATAAAGGGGACATGGGCTCCACTCAGTGGTAAAATAAAGCAACTTGGGAGCAGAGTGGATGTCTGGCTCTTCTGTCCCCTTTCAGGGGGCGTAACACTAGCTCCATATTATTATTAGCCTTAAGGGGAATGTAAACAAAAGTGATGAAAGGCTGCAGGAAATCCCTTGGCATATAAAACAGGCGGAGACACAGAAAAAAGTTCAATATCTGGAGTGCACATCGTCTCCCTGATGACAATAGTGTTACACCACTTTATACTGTATTCAAATAAAGGCACAGTCCTCCACCAAGTGATTTACCCGTCCTCGTGGGGTCTCGGGCCAAACGAAAGGGCTCACTGAAGCCCTCAATCTCCAAGTCCAATTGCAAGTCATAATCCTTGAGCCAAGTTTCTGTCAGTGCTGAAACTCAGGCACGTTTATACTCCTCCAGATATTTCACATTTGACTTAAGTTTGTTGATTTTGCTGTGGGGTGTCTGGACATTTGCAACATAACAGCTGGAAGCTGCAAATGACCGAGACCCCGCTGCTTCAGCCTCTGGCAAACACCGAAGTGTCTTCCCCACTTCCTTACGCCTGGCGACTTGTGCTCCCAACACAATCTTTAACGGAGGTCCCTGTCCGGAGGCTGCTGGGAAAACTGGAACACATCTTTCTACTAACTGAAACAAATTGCCCCTTGGGGATAATAAGGATTCTTGAACTTGAAATATTAGTTTGCTAGTAGCCAAGAGACATTCACAACACATTAGCTAACAGATCATGCGAGATATTGCAGTACTGCATGAGATTGGAAATTACATTATTTTCATGATTTGACCTAAACAACTACAGCTCCATTATTTCTCATCGTGAGACAAACTTTGTTTAAAACACTGGCTTTGAAATGCAGGGGGCAATGCATTCCTTCAAAGACGGCTAGGCAATACTATGAATATGTGTAGCTGAGTCACACACCTGAGGTTAGTGCTTCTCTGAATTCGTGAAGGCCCAGGAAGTCGAAACACCAGGGTGTCATGGGCGTTGTAGTCCACTTGTATAGGCAAACTGTTGTCTGAGTCCTTTGGAGCACAAAGAGCTGAAAAAGGCCACACAATAAATAATTTATTTATTTTGGAATAAATTAATATAATAAATACACAAGCAGAAAAGATAACTGGATAAAACTTACTGTGATCTTTGCTGCTTTTGTATGTTTCAGCATGAAGCTAGAGAATAAAAACAGATTTTAAAAGATGAATACACTTCAATCTTTACTAACAAGCAGATTAAGGAGCACTAAGAGAAATGTCAGGGTACCTTACGTCCAGCCAGTTTGATCCGTGGGGTGAAAGAGCTACAAGAATTCTGACTTTTTGATGTGTAGAAGCTGTGGACACATTTAAATACAAATAACAGAATTAGGATCATTTTATTGTTCTTCATTTTGGTGGGATTTTACAACTATACGGGTTGTACATAAAAGCTGTCCAATGATAGCTAAAGGAATTTGTACCTTCACCATTCCTGAGAAAACTCATTTATTTAATACATTTAGCCCAAATTTTGTTTTAATATGCGTTTCTGTGCATTTTTAACCATTTATACATCAAAATATTGAGCCTATCCAGAAGAATGTTTTTACATCTTTTTATTAACATTTTAACAAGTTATATAACTTTAAAAATCACTTATTTTACAAACAAAACGTTCCTTTTGAAGTCGGCTTCAGAATACTTGCTCTATTTTTCTCTTATGCTACTTTAATCTTGTAGCTAGTGTACGGAAACTTATAGCTAACCTTGAACTACTTGCAGCTTTCCTTTTGCTACATTTAGTTATTAGCTAGCATTTAGCTACTTGTAGCATTTAGATAGAGATAAGATCATTTTAACTTGTATTAAGTTGAAACATAACTAATATTTTGTTACGTATAGTTAACCCGTTGTTAGCTAGATTTTGCTACTTACACAGTTTTGCTACTTTTACATAACATTTTGCTACTCTGACCTAATCTTTTGCTACTTTTAACTACACTGTTGCTACTTTTACCTAACTTTTTGCTACTCTGAACTAATCTTTTGAT